TCTGCTTTCAGCCAAGATCCATCGGACATCAGCAATGATATCTCTCGTTCCACGGCCTCTTCTGAATCCAGCTTGAACCTTTGGAAGTTCTCTGTCAATGTATGATTGTAGCCGTTTCTGTATTACCTTTAGCAAAACTTTGATTAGAAGCCGGATTCTTCATAACCAGTAAACTACCAGAACTGCTTCTAGTTATTGAAGGGCTTTGAATAACTGAGATGTTAAACTCAACTCTATGGGCAGTCAATCAGACCACAAAGGAGGAGACCATAACCATTAGCATATTTACATATAGTCTTACAGAGCTAACTTACCATTTGAACAATTGTTGACATACTGTCCTAAGGCCAGTGGATTATGCATTTCTGCAGTTAGCCAGGTAGTATCACTCATTTTTAAAGGGCCAAGCTGGTCCCTCCCATTGCAGGACCTGAAACAAGTTAAAACATGAACTAAGGACTGTTCTTCTGCAACTTAAAATTGAATGTAAAAAAACAAAATTAGCACCATTTTGTTGTTAAGTGTGGTTGAGTCAGTCCCTGTATAGGGTTTCTGAGGAACAGCTTTAACTGCTGACCTTGCAGTCTGGCACATTAACCCACAGTGCCATACCAGAACTCCTAAAATTAACCCTAGAACTAAACAATTACATTTTTAAAATCTTTAATAAATTGTAATTGTTTAGTACAATTAACCCTAGACCTAAACAATTATAATATTTTTTAAATTAAAAACAAACTTTAATCCATAGAGCAACTGAGTGGCTACAAAATTGAGTTGCTACCTAAATAGAAATACAAATGCTATTCGGTCATGGGAGAAACATGAAGCTTTCTACTCCCATAAGATTTAGAGCCTCAGAAACCCTATGCGGAGTCGCTATGAATTGGAGCCAACTTAGGGCACCTACACCACCAACAGTCACTGTAGGAAGTATGATCTATCGCCCGTCGCTAAATCTGACTATGGACATCAACTTACCGGTACACAACTTTTGAAATTCCTTTGTCATTTCCATCAATGAGTATCCCATCCAGGCATCTAAAAATAAATGAATTTCCAATGGACTGGAAAAAGATTGGCTCATACTTCTGATAAACTGTACCTATTATATACAACAAGACAAAGACATAGCAACATGTTAATATGATAAACATCATAATTAAGGACCTTTGTCTGGAACATACACATGGAAGAATTTAATTCCTCTTTTTTTTTAACATTTCATTTCCAATTTTACCCACTGCTGTTGAGTTGATTCTGACACATAGTGATTCTTTAAGACAGAGCAGAGCTATTCCATAGGGTTTGCAGATTGAAGGAAAAACTCAAGCATTGACTTGAAATAGTGAAGGATTCTATGGGTAAAATACTGAACGATGCAGAAAGCATCAAAACAAGATGGCAGGAAGACATAGAGTCACTTCATCAAAAAGAAATGGTTGATGTTCAACCATTCCAAGAGGTAGCATATGATCAAGAGCTAATGAGACCGAAGAAGTTCAGCATGCACTAAAGACACTGGCAAAGAACAAGGCTCTGGGAATTAATGGAATACAAATTGAAGCCTTTCAACAAATTGATGCAACTCTGGAGGCACTCAATTGTCTATGCCAATAAATTTGTAAGATCTGGCCAACTGATTGGAAGAGATACATACTTATGTCCATTCCAAACAAAGGTAATCCAACAGAATACAGAAATCATCAGACAATATCATTAATATCACAGGCAAGTAAAATTTCGCTAAAGATAATTCAAAAATGGTTGCAACAGTACACTGATAGGGAACTGCCAGAGATTCAAGCTGGATCCATACAAGGATGTGGAACAAGGAATATGAATGCTGGTATCAGATGGATCTTGGCTGAAAGCAGAGAAAACCAGAACCATATTTCATTGATTATGCAAAAGCTTTTCTATTGTGTGGCTCATGGCAAGCTAAGGACAATACTGCAGAGAATGGGTAATCAGAACATTTTATTGTGCGCATGAGGAACCTGTACATAGACCAAAAGACATTCATTCAAACAGGACAGGGAAACACTAAATGGTTTGAAATCAGGAAAGGTTGTATTTTTTTTCACCCTACTTATTCAACCTATCTGCTGAACACATAATTAGAGAAGCTGGATTATATGAAGAAGAATGTAGCATCAGGATTGGAGGAAGACTCATTAACAACCTGTCATATGCAGATGATACAACCTTGCTTGCTGAAAGCTAAAAGGACATAAAATTATTACTGATGAAGATCAAAGACCACAGCCTTCAGTGTAGGTTGCACCTGAATGTAAAGAAAACAAGAATCCGCACCACAGGACCAGTAAACACCATCACGATAAATGGAGAAAAGGTTGAAGATGTCAAAGACTTCATTTTGTTTGCCTCCATTCACTATCAACACTCATAGAAGAAGTAGTCAAGAAATCAAATGAGAGTAGAGAGAATATCTCCATCAGCAATAACACAGAATACCAGATGAAACAGATTTAGGGGAGAGCTCCAAAACTCTGAACCGTGTATATAGGACTATTTTACAAGTTTGAAGGCTTATAGCTAGTGGAACTTGTAGTGGAAGCAAGAAATCTTGTACTTTCAAACCTGCTGGGCAGAGCCAACAACTGGGGTGAGACCAAATGGCAAGACCAATCGGGGGAGCAAGCAAACCCGCCGTGGATTGACACCTGCAGGAACCTCAGAGATAAAGGTGTGAACAAGGTTGTTTTGTTTTGTTTTATTCTGTCTTTTTGGTATCTGTTAATTGGCCTCTCGGTGTCTGTGCACCTCAATTCTGGTGACTAGAGGGGGTACCTGAGGGTTCTTCTACTATGCATGCACACAAATTCTCAGCATTTAAAGGGACAGATTCCACTTAAAACCAATGGCAGCCACAGACAACCCTGAACTGTTCATTACTAGGAAAAAAGGACAGAACGGGGATTGTAGAGAGGGAGAGAGACTAAAAACAAAACAGGCTGAAAATTTAATCCTGAGTTACAGCATAACAACCAACAGTGATATCTTGAATTTTCTCAGGCAGCCTTGAAGGCAAGAAGCTGAAAGAGGATATTAAAGTCATACTCATATTGTTGTTAAGTACTGTATAGTCAATTCCGACCCATAGCGACCCTGTATAGGGTTTCCAAGGAGCAGCTGGTGACCTTGCAGTTCAAATGACTTTGCAGTCTGATGCATTAGCCCACAGCGCCACACCAGTACTCATATTAGGCTACAGCTTTTTTTTCCTCTCTCTCTCTTCTGTGATTATAGACTACAGTATTCATTCTGGATTTTTTTTTGCTGTTGGTGGTTTTTTTGTTGTTGTTGTTAAACCTTTTACCTTTAGGGGGCGCTTTCCCTCCCTATATTACCCAAGAAGAGACAGCAATTGCTGTCATAAAGTCAAGCTACAATCACACCTTATAAAACCCCACAATCCAAGCAAGAACCAATATCAACTGCCATATACCAGGAATGCAGACAACACCTGTGAAAGTTACTATAAGTAATAATAAGAAGAGTGTAAAGGGAAGCCCACATCCTGAACACATCTACCTGGAGGCAATCAGAAAGCATAAAAAATACCAAGATACACACTCAACTAAGTATTAAACCACAGCTAAACACTGAACATATCTAAGAGGCAAAAACAGATGACCATATCAGCATATGTCAAGAAACAAGATAAAGTGTCTGAGACAAATGATCTGGAGGTAGACCTACACTCCATACTGGAAGGAGGGCAGACCTTGGAAATGCCTGAGAAGGAATTTAGAAAAATGATTATAAAATGTATCAAAACACTTAACAATGGAGTTGAGAAAAATAAGGAAGAAGTCAGGAAAGCTCTACAGGAACAATCAAATAAGATACAGACAGCACTGGAAACAATTCAAAACCTACTGAAAGAGTTTTAAATGATTACTAATAGAATATCAGAAATAGACAACACACTGAAAGGGCAAAGGAGCAGAGTTGAAGAGATGGAAACCAGAACTAGTGAGCTGGAAAATCTCTCAATACCACCAAGATAGAAGAGCACGCAGGAAAAAGGATAAAAAAAATCCGAAGGCTTTTTATTGGACAACATGAAGAGGAATAACTTAAGAATTATTTGCATTCCGGAACAGGTAGAATCACAAAAGTCCACAGAGGAAATACCTGAAGAGCTGCTGGAATAAAATTTCCATAACATCCTGAAAAGTGAAGATAAACATTTAAGAAGCTAAATAAACCCCAGGAAGGACAGACCCCAAAAGAAAATCACCAAAACATATAATAATCAAGCTCTTCAAAATCAAAGAAAAGGGCAAAATCCTGAAAGCAGCTGGGGAAAAGAGAAGCATTACATACAAAGGCAAGCAAGTTAGATTAAGCTCTGATCTCTCAAAAGAAACCATGTAGGTAAGAAGGCAATGGGGAGACACATATAAAACCCTGAAAGAAAAAAGAAACTGCCAACCAAGAGGCCTTTATCCAGCAAAGCTATCAATCAAATACAATGGTATAATCAAAATGTTCCAGGACAAACAGAAGCTAAGGGATTTTTTCAAAGCCAACACTGCGATGCAAAATACTCTAACGGGAGTTCTGTGGCCTGAGAACCAACAAGAACAGACAACAACCAGAAATTGACATACATGGCAGCACCACCCAGATCTCAACTGACAAATGGAAGAACTGAGAACAGAACAAAACTGTAAGAAAAAATTCAGAGGATCTGGGAAGTCAGTCTATTATCAAAACAATTACAATGTGAAAGAAGGTAAACACATAGGACCAGAGATCCAGGTGATGAGAAGGTCAGGTAGATTACAGGATAAAATAGTCTATATTAAACGGAGGGAGAAGTTAATAGAATATAAGGTAACCTCAAAGAAAATTAACACTTCACAACATATCAAGAAAATGAAAATCCAAGAAGAACATGGAAACATTAAAACTATGAGGAAACTCACAAGAAAGAACACAAATACATGAACTCAGCACAGGAAGACTTGCAGAACAAAGAAACCAGCAGCACCACACCAAAAAAAACACACATAATGGCAGGAATTAATCCATACCTACCCATAATTACACTGAATGTAAATGGATTAAATGTACCAGTTAAGAGACAGAGGGTGGCAGAATGGATAAGAAAACAAGATCCTTCAATATGCTGTCTGCAAGAGACACATATCACACACAGAGACAAAAACAGATTAAAAGTCAAAGGATGGGGAAAAAATATATATACCATGATCACCCATGTGGTTTCTAATGCGTGTTATTATTTGTGTCTTCTCCCTCTTTTCTTTTGTTAGGTTTGCCAATGGTCTGTCAATTTTGTTAATCCTTTCAAAGAACCAGCTTCTTGTCCTGATGATTCTTTCTATAGTTTTTCTGTTTTCTATCGCATTGATTTCTGCTCTAATCTTTATTGTTTTCTTTTTGTGGCTGTAGGTTCCCTCTGTTGGTCTGTTTCTGATTGTTGTAGATGCTGTGTTAAAGTGTTAATTTTGGTTCTTTTTTCTTTATGGATTTGTGCATTTATTGCAATAAACTGTCCTCTCAGCACTGCTTTGGACATTTCGCAAAGATTTTGGTCTGTTGTGTTTTCATTCTCATTTGTTTCTAGGAACTTTGTGAATTCACGTTTAATTTCATCTACTACCCAGTCATTTTTCAGCAGGGTGTTATTCAGTTTCCATGTATTTGACTGTATTTCCTTGGTCTTCCTATTGTTGATTTCTAATTTGTTAGCAGTGTGGTGTGAGAAGATAACTACTTCTGAATATTTAGTCACTGAATATCAGAGTAACACTGTCAGATATAGTGCCAGAAAATGAGCCCCTCAGGCTGGAAGACACTCAAAATGTGACTGGGGAAGAGCTTCCACCTCAAAGTAGAGGTGATAGTGATGACGTGAATGGAGAGACCTACATTTGCTGATGGGGCACAATTGAAAATGAAGAGAAACAGCTGTAAACATCCATTGAAAATCAGAACATGGAATGTACAAAGTATGATTCTGGGAAAATTGGAAGTTGTCAAAAATGAAATGGAACACATAAACATCAATATCTTAGGCATTAGTGAGTTGATATGGACTGGTATTGG